TTCACTGAGAAATTTTTAAATCTTTTGGGCTTTGTGGTGAGTTGAATGTTGGTCCCACTCAAAAGATGTGCCCAACCAGAACCTGCAAATGTGACTTATTTGTAGGTAGGTCTTTGCAGGCATAATTCAGTTAAGGATCTTGAGATGTGCTCACCCTGGATTATGCAGGTGGGTCCTAAATCCCATGACCAGTGTCCTTATATGAAACAGAAAAGGAGAAGACACAAGCACAGGGAAGTCTCTGTGAAGAAGCAGGCAGGGTTTAGAGCTACTGGCCACAAGTCAAAGAACATCTAGACCCACCAAAAGCTGGCAGGCGAGAGGAGGGACTTCCCCTAGAGCCTTCAGAGGGAGTAGGACCCTGCTGACACCTTGAATTTGTACTTCTGCTCCAAAACTATAAGAGAATAAACTTTTGTTATTTCCAGTCAACAAGTTTGTGATAATTAATTACAGCAACCACAGGAAGCAAATACAGAGTTCATAAAGTGAAAGACTTTTATCTCTTTTGATCCCCTTGGAACAAAGATCTCAATCTTATCTTCAAAAATTCAACCCTCCAAAAATGCTACTCTTGGCTCCAACAAACAAGAATTATCATTTAGGTTAAGCGAGTTTTTGGTGCAGCAGCCAACAGGTAGAAATTATCTGTGTGTTCCGCACGTTCTCACTCATAGGCGGGTGTTGAACAATGAGAACACATGGACACAGGGAGGGCAACATCACACACTGGGGTCTGTTGGGAGGAAATAGGGGAGGGGCAGCGGGGGTGGGGAGTTGGAGAGAGATAGCATGGGGAGAAATGCCAGATATAGCTGAAGGGGAGGAAGGCAGCAAATCACGCTGCCATGTGTGTACCTATGCAACAATCTTACATGTTCTTCACATGTACCCCAAAACCTAAAATGCAATAAAAAAAAAAGAAAGAAATTATCTGTGTGTTGATATTTTTTTTTCTTCCTGGAAAAGCACAAGAAATTCAGAGTTCATATCTCATAAGCCAATTTTGAAATCACATACAACAATTCTCCAATCCTCCATTCCTTCCCACAATCGCCTCACTGTTGTCGGACAAAGCACTGTTACCAGCTGGTGAGCTTTATTACACTGTCAGGGTTGGCTTCCATCAATTCCTTATGGGGAGTAAAGCTGAGTTATTATAGAGGTGACCAAAATCACCACCTGAATGCACTTACTGAGAGCTTCATCAACTGACTCACCAAGTTCCTCTCCGCTCTAATTCTGACATCAGTTTGGGCAAAATAAACTTCCATGTGAAATACCCATCCAACACCCAAAACACAAAGTTCCTTGACTTTTCAGACTCCAGTGACCTCCACTTCACTTTCCCAACTCAGTTTCATGGGCAAATCCTAAAGCTTGTCTTCACTGCCAACCCTCCTCCCCAAACCCTGTCCCCCTTAAAAAGTGACCCACAATTCCTATATGGTGGCTACTGATTATAAATCCTTTCAGCCAGCTTGTTGTAACCAGTTCCCACTCCACAACCTAACCTACACCACATCTCGGTTAAAAGGAATCCTCCACTCATTGAAAGCTAGACTCTCCGCCAATAGTAGACTATTTGTCTTCTGTTTCCAGTAACAATTCCTCCTTCGTCTCTCCCTCTCTCTTCCTATCTCTCTCCTATATCTTTAATAGTGTTTTCTCGAAGGCTGTTCCCACTCAGCACTTCCCAGAGATTGCTGAACTCTCTCTTAACTTGGTCATTGCCGTCCACCTTTGACTTCCCACAGCCCAGCTTCTTGGAAGTGCTGGTCACCTTGAGTTTTTCTACTTCCTCACCTCTTATTCACTCTCAAACTCTAATGTTCACTCACATGACTTCAATGAAACTCTTTCAACAAGGTCACACAAATGTAACAAAAATCTTTGTCATTGCACCTCACCTCTCAGTGGCTTTCCATGCTGTTTAATCCTCCTTGTCACTCTATCCTCTCTCTGTTCCTGCGTATCATGGACAGAAAGTTTGTCCCCTCAAAATTCATATGTTGAAATCCTAATTCCCCAGGTGACAGTATTAGGAGGTGAGGATTTTGGGGGGCAATTAGTTCATGAGGGCGAAGCCCTCCTGAATGGAATTAGTGCCTCCATAAAAAGACACAAAAGAGCAGCTTTCTCTCTCTTTCTGCCTTGTAAGGATACAATGAGAAGAATGCTATCTGCAAGCCAGGAAGAGGGCCCTCACCAGACACTAGATCTGCCAGCACTTTGATCTCAGACTTCCCAGGCTCCCAAACTGTGAGAAATAAATTGTGGAAGTTACCTGTCTATGGAATTTTTGTTATAGCAGACCAAACTAAGACACTGGGACACCATTATCTCCTGGGTCTCCTCAAGCTTCCTCAACCATTTTCTCCAATCCCACATATTTACATAGTTCTGCCTTCTTCTCTTCTTGCACACTCACCTATATACTAATGATTCCAAAATTGTCTAGATCCTAAACACTTTTCCTGAAGTTGACACCAACTGTGTGCTGGGCGTGTCCATCTTTATACTCTGTGAGTACTTTAAATCCAACATTTAACTAAATACCTATTTCCTCATAAAATCAACTTTCCTATCTCAAAGAGTGGAACCACCACTCACTCCATGGCTTCCTTACTGTTGCTCCTCCCTCCTAAGTACTTCTTGTGCCAATTCCCCACTCCTGATCTCCTATCAATGCCTTAGTTCAGGCCTTATTGATTACTCCTCTAGACTATAGCCACCCGATAGTTCTCTCTCTGCCTGTAGGCTCAACCCTTTCACATCCATTCTCCCTGTTGCAATCGGAGGAATCTTCCTAAAATGCAAATCATGTTATCACTTAAATCCTTCAGCGGCTCCCTACTATCTACAAACTACATAGCCTGACCTAGTAAACCATTTGATATCTGCCTTCTATCTCTTTCCAGCCTGATTTCTTGTCCTTTTCCTCTTAACTCTCTATTGTTATGCCAAACAACTTATAGTCCCTGCATAAAACACATCTTACACCTTTCAACTAGCTGTTTTCTCTGCCTGAAGTAGCCCTTCCCATTCTTGTGTTGCCTCACAAACTCCTCATCATTCATAAGGCAACCCAGGAATCCTCTTACCTGAAAGGTTTTACCTAAATCCAATCTGTGACTCTCATACCTGCCCCGATTTACGCAATCAGGCATCCTTTCTCTTCCTTCCTCCAGTACCCTAAACACACTTCAGGTCTAGCATACAGCACACTATTTTGAAAGTGCTTTTGTCTATATTTCCTCAACTAGTCAAGGTATATGTCCACTAAAGTAAGCCTTTAAATCCTCCTCATCTTCATGACATCAGTGTTAGCCCATGTCAGAAATTTAGTCCATTTTGGTTGAAATATTTTAACATCTGATCACCTGAAGAGTTGAGGTGATCAAGATTAGTCTAGCAGTTTATGGGAAGAAGAAACCGTGTCCACACAAATTTATACTAGCAGGAGGGAGAAATTCTTTCCCAACCAGAGAAACTCATAGAAGTGGGAACAATTAAGAAGTGAGAATGAGCATAATGTATGTGGAAGGCAGGAGGAAATCAATCTGACGCAAGCAAAAGACAGTGCTGGAGAGTTCAGTGGGTTGGGTGGGATGAGATGCAAAAGAGTCTCACAGGGGTATGAATGAGGCTCAGTATACTAGCTTCCTATTGCTGTTGTAACAAATTACCATAAACTCAGTGGCTTAAAATGACAGAAGTCGATTATCTTACAGCTCTGAAACTCAGAGGTAGAAATGAGTCTCACTGGGCTAAGATCAAGGTGTTGGCCAGATGATGTTCCTTTCTGGAGGCTCTAGGGGAGAACCATTTTCTGATTTTTCCAGCTTCTTAGAGGCTGTCCTTATTTCTTGGCTCATGATCCTATTCCAGCTTCAAAACCAGCAAAGGCTGGTTGAGTCTTCCTCACAACCTTCTGCCATCACACTTTCTTCTGCTTCCCTCTTTCATTTTTAAAGACCCTTGTGATTACATTAGGCATACCTAGATAATCTGGGAAAAACTCCCAATCTCAAGGTCAACTGATTGGAAACACTGACTTTATCTGAACTTAAATCCCCTTTGCCATGTAACCTATTCACAGGTCCTAAGGATTAGGACATGATATCTCTGGGGGGCCATTATTCTGCCTACCACACTCAGAAACTAATTGGAAACCTCTGTCCAGCTCTTAAGCCTAAAATGCCATGAGGAAAGCATAGAGCTCCAGACTGAGCTGCCCTAAATCACCCTCTCTGAAATCTTTCACAATTGAGTCATGATGAGGTGGTTTTTTTTAAATTTGCCTTTGTGCTCAAAATATTGTAGGAGCCCAGCACTCTTCTATTGTGCCACTCTGCTGCCTATATACACACAAAACAATTTAATAGCAGATATTCTTGGGGTACCTTAATCACATACACATACACAGGTAACATGACCATTTTGAGTCTTTCTCTGTGAATAGATGAGGGTGGCCCTGAGAAATGTGCCAGTTGCCATACTGTAGGATGCCCACGTGTGTAACATTTTAAATTATTTTAATTCACTTAATTGGAAGCTTCCTATTAACATGGTAGACACTGTGATTCCCATGACACCAACAGGGCTGTGTAAGTCTCTCACTTTTGTATAACACTAATTAATCATGACAATACAACTATCTCAAATGTAGTTATCATCTTTCTTAGAGCTCAAAGAGTTTCATACAATTTATCCTTTTTCTTTCAGAAATACTCCTAAGGGGTTACTGGCTGCAGGATCACTATTTGAGATTAAAATAAGAAATAATTTTCTTACATCAGTGAAAGGCAAAAGGAAATTTATAAATGCAATGCTCTAATAGAAAAAATAATCACATATTTTATTTCCATATATGCAAATTGTTAATTCAAAGATGTTTAAGTGAAGCTTTCTGAAGCTGACTTATTTCTATCTTCAAAGTATACGTGACCATGACTTCATTCGTTCATTCATTCATTCAACAGATATTTCATATAAACTTTCAGGTACCAGATACCATTCCCTAGAATCAATAAAGATTCAACAAAACAATGTCATTGTCCTCAAGGAGCTTACTGTTAGCAGGAGACAGACCATACACTTTTAACAAACATATGAACAAATAGGCCATCTTTCAAATAATGATGAGTGCTCTGAATAATAACAACAAAATAGTGCCAGGTAAAAGAGAGAGAAAGTGAGAGATAATAGAAAAAGGTTATTTTAGTTTGGATGGTTAGGGAAGGCCTATACAGATATTTAAATAAAAAGCCAGGCATGTGAAGAAATGAGAAAAGGGTGAACATGCCAATTTGATTCCATTGAACAAATGTTAATTAAGCATAGACTATGTGCCAGTCATGGTTTTTGGTGCTGGAGAGCAAGCAAGTATCAATAACCTGCTTATGGCAGAACAAGCCTGAATAAAGAAATGAACAAAATGTATATGTAGCATTATGTTGTGTCCATACATGTCTTTACCAAACACATTTACCCTCTAATTATCTGACAAATGATATAATTATCAAAAGCACAAAATCTTAGTAGTAGAGGTCAGTTTAACTATCTCTCTTCCTAAATATGGTTTTCAAATTCTGGCAATGGAACTATTTGTTTAAATAAAATAGTATGCAGAGTTCCAACATAAACAAATAATAAAAGCGGTCTGCCCCATGGAAGGATTGTGAAAGTCCACACTCTTACCTATTCTGCCTCCCCTCAAAGCTCCTACCACCATTTTGCAGCAATGTTAATTTCTTGGTTTTGATCACTGCATCATTTGATCATGGTTGTATAAAATGCTAATATCAGGAGAAGCTGGGTGAAGGATATATGGGAACTCTCTATACTAGTTTGTAACTTTTCTGTAAATCTAAAGTTATTTCAAACTAAAAAGTTGAAAGAAAAGTAATCCTACCACCATCACTACCAGGCAGCCCACCTTGGGGCACTAGAGACACCAGCTGACATCATTAACCTTGATCATGCCTGGCTGGTTTAGCCTATTTACTAAGGATCTTCAGAAAAGGGGAATTCCTTTCTAGGTAGCCTAGTCTGGTTTTTAACCATTCTTAACACCAAAAGATTCTTTCCTATGACTCTTGCAATCCTTTATGCTCTAAGATAAACCCACTTTTTCAAGTTTTGTCATCAATGGAAAATTAATTTGTCTTCTCTAAAAACCTTGTGATATATTTATAGACCTCATAATTTTCCATCAACTTTCTTTCCACAAGTTAAGAACAATGCTGTCATCTTTTCTCATGGGTCTTCTACTTCCACTTTTGAATCATTCAGGAAACTCTCCACTGCAAGTATTTTTTTATCTTCTTAAGCTATGGTGTTCAGAGCTCATCACTGGATTTTAAATAAATAAAAGAGCCCTCAGCCAGTATCAAATACCTTGGGTAAGAGGGTTGTATTATCACTCAGACTTTATACATAACATTCCTATTGGATATTACTGCCATAACAACCTCTCTACATTACCATATTTTGTTTTTTCTTACACATTTTTTCACACTGCTTATGACAGTCATTAAGCCAAGTGCCCCAGGCATTTGCTCTTAACCAATGAACAGCCAGAGCCAGACTGGGAACTTCAAGTCTTTCAGCAAGTCACAAAGTGCCAAAAATGCTCTCTCGCCAGGAGACACATTCCCTGAGTTAGAGAAAGTAGAAATTCGTTCTGATCTCATTCACCTGAGATCACTCAACAATAAGATAAGTGAACTGTCTGAGTCCGTGACCCTGTCTGTTGGACCTCTCCTTGCTTTAGTTCCCTGCCTGAAAAGTGAGGATAAGAGTGTTTACCAACTTTGCACGGGTGTTGCAAGAGTTGATTAAGGCTTATATGGCACCATCTGATGACAGTCTCTGTGGCTGTGCCACTCAAGTTGTCAAAGGCTGTGAAATGCTCATGTGCCTCAAGGGCACCCCCTTAAAGCTCAATATCACAACTCTAGGTGACTTGCTGTGACCATAACTAGAATATAACCCAACTGTACTTTCAGACATGCATGCCGAGTGCCAGTAAGGCTATCATCCAAAGCTGAAAAGCAGTTTTTCTAATGCTGCAGGCTCATGCACAAGGCACCAAAATAGCACCAGAAATACTATACCCATATTGCTTTATCCTAGACATCTGACACTTATAAAGCTGATGCCAAATTTCTTGTCACATATGTGTCTGGAAGCCTTCATGCTGAGAGGCATTTCTTATCTTCTGACATTTCAGAGAGCTGCATAAAGCTAGACAAGCACAGAGCCTCCTTCTAAAAGGCACGAGGCAGAGGCGAGCATTCTTTTCAGGCGACCTCTGAAACCTTCATTGGAGGAAATCCAAGACATCCTTCAGCACATCTGTAATCCTCAGGATATTCCAAATGTTTGAGTGTGCAGCTTCCAGTTAGTAACAGCTGAACTGCCCTGGCTCTCCAAGGTCATCTGAAAATGATTTGCCCATCAGCCAAATGAGGAAATGCTATTGTAAGCAAACCAACCATAAGATCAGACAATCCTCAGGGGCCCAGGGCCCAGATGCTCTGTCTCTGGTGACACAGGCCACCCCATCTATTACATTCAGGCTTCCAGTTGATGCTAATGATTGTTGTGACTGACACCCCAAAACAGAAACAAAAGTAGGATATTTGGACATGATACAATAATTGACAATTTCTAGTGATTCCCTTCTCTTCAGATCTTACCTACACAAACTGCCTGACAAAGTGGGTGTTATATAGACCTCCCCCACAACTGCCAAAGAGCAGGGGTTTCTAGTAGGAAAGTCCCCTAAAGCAATGTGTGTCAGAATAACCTTGTTTTAAATGCAAATTCCTGGACCTTATTCCAGACCTTTGAATTAGGACCTCAGGCAAATGGGATCCAAGAATCTACATTTTGAACAAATTCCTCAGATGATTTTTTAACTTTTTAATTTCCCAGATAATTTTTACACACACTAAAGTTTTTAGAAACCTGGTGGAATTTTCAAGTAAATTAAAATTCATACAAACCCTCAGCTCGTTGGGAGAGTTTCTGGCCACAAGCCTATATTTAGTGGTCCTTGAGCCACTACCCTAAACACCCACAACAAACCACCCTATGCTCAAGAGGAAGGAACAAGTTTCATGATTTCATCCTTCTCTCAGCCTCATTGTTCATGCTCCTCTTTTGGAACAATAAGCACTGCCATATGATGCTTCTGGCATCTGTTGCCTTGTATTGTTTAACTTTTTGTGTTAGTTTTTTATTGCTGCCATAACAGATTACCACAAATGTGGCACAAATTTATTATCTTACAGTACTGTAGGTTAGAAGTCCAATACAGAAGTCACTGGGCTAAAATCAAGGTGTCAGCAGGACTAGGTTCCTTGCTGGAGGGTCCAGGGGTAAATGTGTTTTGGTGCCTTTTGCAGCTTCTAAAGGCCACCCACACTCCTTGGCTCATGGCCCTCCTCCATCTTCAAAGCCAGCAATATTGTATCACTGATTCTTCACATCTCCTTCTGACTCTCTTCTTCTGCCTCCCTCCTCCACTTTTAAGGACGCTTGTGACCATATCAGGGCCACCCAGATAATCCAGGATATCTTTCCTATCTCAAGGTTCTTAAGATGTGATTACATACATGACTACATCTGCCAAGTCCCTTTTGCCAAGTAAGGTAACATTTTCACAAGTTCCTGCAATCTAAGATATGGATATCTTTAAAAGGCCATTATTCTACCTGCCCCAGCTTTCACCTATAATATGAAGGGATGTCTTCATTTGGGTTCCTGCAAAAGCAGACCCTGAGACTAGGATTTGAGTAAAAGTCCCACGAACCCCAGTAAAGGAGTGGGGCAGTCAGGTAGTAAGGGAGGAAAGCAAATAACTTGTGAGTTAATGAGCAGGATAGTACTACAGGCAACTAGACTGAATTCTCCTAAGGACTGTATAAAACACACATTACAGTAGTCCCACCTTGGGGAAAGGAAACTAAAGCATTTATCCACCAATTCACATCATTTCGTAGTTAGGGGTCACATTAACTCCCCATGCACTTCCGGCACTTCATGCTTCCCTGAGTGTGGATAGGCTCCACAGCTAGTGAATATTCCTGGCAGAGACACTCAATAGGCCATAAGCTTGTTCCATCTGAGAGGCCTCCAGAGTGGGCCAAGAAGATATGGGCAGGACATCAATAGCACCTGAATTAAGGGGGTTGGTTTTGAGCCAAGTGTGGCATTATGTCTCAAAAGTTTCAATGCTCACATCCTTTGACCTAGCAATTCCACCTCCAGGGAATGCACGCTAAGAGATATATGGACACAATGATTGCTTATAATGTTTTAAAGAATTGGAAATTATTTAAATTCCATTAATAAGGGATTAGTTATATGGTGATACAATTGAACACTGTGCTACAATTGGATATAACTATGTGGGCCTACATTTATTAATAGAGAAACCAGTTCCTGACATACTGCTGAGTGGAAAAAAAAAAAAGCAGGTTACAAATAGTAAGTATATTATAAATCCATTTATGTAAAATTATGTATGTATAATATATATGTGTGTGTATGTAAAGCAAGATGTCTCAAAGAATGTTCATCAAAACTCTAACAGTAGTTATTTCTAGGAAGCAGAATTTCTCATTCTTTATACTTTCTTCTTCATGTGTCTCTGTATTACAAAAAAAAATCATGATAAACAATGTATTATTAATCAATTATAAAGATCCTTGCAATCTTTTCAAAAAAGATTTCAAATTTGTCCTAAAAGATAAGCTTCTATTTAGTTCTAATATGATAATATCTATGTGCTTACATATATGTCTCCATTTTAAAACTACATGAAGCTGAGTACCTCCATGCATTACACAAAATAGGGCATATTTTGAACACAGCAGGCACTTAATAATAATTGATGTTTATCAATATGAAATTTCATACAATTTCATCAGTTTGAAATTCAATGCAACATATGGAACAAACTGGGTCATGGTAACATTTTCACAATGCATGGAATGACTTCCCAGGGAGCTGAGAGGCCTGGCCTGGCTCTATTAGGCGGGGGGGCCTGCTCTGGCAGACAAGGAAGGCCCGCCCTTGCATAGACATACCCATGTCATCCCAGAGATACCATCAGAGCCCCAGCTTATCTTAGGTAGAAGAGAAAACAAATGCAACTGTAGCCTTGCAGTTTTACAGCACAAATGAGACAAGTGGAATCTGTGTTAATCTGTTAGAAATTAATTCAATGGTTTGTCCCTTCAAACTCTAGGCCTGCCTTGCAAGAGCACTCCACTTCCTGGTATGTACGATGGCAAAGCTGACTGGAACTGCCAAGAGGAAGAAGAAGTGGGAGAGTAAGTCACAGTGTACCCATAGGGCCACAGAAATTTAAAAGAATATCTAGGTGTGGGACTTCACATGCATGCGTCTTTTATGTCTAATGGGGAAATTTTCTCACCTGCTCATGTTTCTCTTAGACTCTCTTTTGTTGCTCAGAATCTAAATAATGAGCAAATAGAGGGAAAATAGAAAAGTGGACAAGTCCCTGTTTGTGTACATATTAAATAGCTGAGAGAGGTGGCAACAGGAAGGAGGGAGAGAGACCAGAAAATCATGTGGAATGGGTGCCAGGGAGTTTGGGGATTGCGAGGTAACAGTTGGAGATTCAGAGCTTTGGGGAGCACCTGATATCGATGTGAAAGAAAATGAAGATAACAGTAAAGTAGATGTTAAGATGTTTTTTCTATAGTAAGAATGCATACTCCATACTAACATCTATTGAATTGTATACTGTAAATGGGTGGATTGCATGGTATGTAAATGACACCTCAATAAAGCTGTTTTTTAAAAAAGAAGACTCCATTCTGAAAAAATGCATGCTTCTCTTTGGTGGTTCACTGAGAGACTGCAAAAAATATCTGAAGAATCCTAATTACCTTTTAGATACCAAACCATTCCTTTGAATTCATTCTTTGACAGAGGCTGAGCCATGTGGAACTTCAGTTATGTTTAGGTTCTGAAGGGTTAGAGAAAGGACCCTTAAGATCCTCTAGTCTAACGCTCTCACTTCAAAGGTGAGGAAATGAAGCCACCGAGGCTAGATAAGTCTGCACTGTCACACAGCAGCAAAGCTGGGAATTATGGAGGTCTGATCTCAGGTCTTTCGAAATGCACCACCCCACCCCTATCCGATCCTCTTCCTGCTATTGTTTATAGAAAAAAACAATTTGAGGATAAGCATGATTAGAACACATAGTTATTATGCCCATGGTTCAGTCTAGTTTTTCTGGCCTTTAAAACAAGTCAGTTAGACTGGCACCAATCCAATCAGTTGCACACCACTGCCCAGCTAACAGCCTAGCCGTGGAGATCTGGCCTCCCCAGCCCAAGCCTGGAGAACAAACAATCCTCACAATGGCAATGTTGCTTTCACCTACTTTTGAAGAGCAATAGGAAAACAACAATAGCTACCTACCATTTATTGGACACTTATCCATGCAGCAACTTGGGCAGAGTAGTAAGAGCCCTGTGACACTGTAATTTAGAGAGTTCAAATTTTGAGTAAGAACTTTAAAACTACTAGATGTCACTAATGTAAATAACACCCATCTGTGAATCACATCAGAAATTTACAAAGTTAATTATGGGATCACATTTCTGATGCTCTCCCAGGATGGCTCTGGCGCCTGCTATGTGCTAGGCACTGGTCTAGACATTTTACATATGGCATCTCTTTTAATCTCCACAATAATTCCATCACATGGGTATTAATCACCCCACTCTGTAAGTAAGAAAAAAAAGAAAAAAACTGAAAACATGATGGGAGCAGGACCAGGCAACTAAAGGATAAGTTCTGATGTCAAGAAACAGCCCTAGGGCTCAAGGAGGGTATCTTCATGATGTACATCAAGTCTGTACCAGAATAGTTCTCCTTTATCCCTAAAGAGTCACCTCAATGCCTACCATTCCATCAATAGTTTCATCCATTTTTAACTTAAATACCTTCAGTAGTCACCCATAAAATCGGGAATATCCCTATGCATTGATCCGAGTCAGCAATGCTATGTTACAGAATAAGCAGAATCTCAGTAGACTAACATGATAAAAGTATTACTTGCTCATGCAAAGTCTGATGCAGATGTTTGCAGCCATTTTAGAGGACCAGGAATGAGATAAGAAGAGCATGGCAGATATGCAGGATGTTCTAGATTCAGAGCATGGAAGATCACGCAGCCTACAGGTGGAGAATACCATTTCCACCCACATTCCATTAGCCAGAAATCAGTCACACGGCCAACCTAACTGCACAGGAGTCTGAGAAATGTAGGGGAGTGCAGAAATGGATGCGCATTACAATATCCACCACATTCCCAAAAGAATTATACATTTGGTTCTTATCTGTCAGCACATCAGTTAACAAGAATTAGTTAACAACAACAGATACAAGTAGTACCTAGGAGTCTCTTCTTCAGGACAGGACCAGAAAGGAAGAGATGGAAAAGGGACAGTGACAGAGACATATGTATATATTTAATAATTTTGTTGGGTTTTGCCTGACTTGAAAGATCAATCTACTAAGTCTTGCTGTGTCTCCAGCTCACTGGCTGATACTTTCAATGGCTTTGGTTGTATGCTGAATTAGACTTTAAGTCTTACAAGTGTAATTTCTCCCAGAAATATCAGAAATAAAGCTATTTATTCATTTTATTCATAGAGGCAAATAGGTACTTTGGGATCTACAATAAATAAATGTTTTCCTGACAAGCTGAATATAAAAGATCTTAATGAAGCGACTTTTTTTCATTTTATTTCTACCATAAAATTCAACAACAAATGATATGGTCCTGAAAGGAAACAATCATCATCAAATTTAGGAATGTGTCAAATTTTTTAAATTATAAAAGGAAAACTATAACTTATTAAAACTTTAACTATTAATGCATCACCCAGACAATTAAGACAGAAATCTGGCTTGAAACCTTCTTCTTCACTCAGTCTATCCAAGCACCAACTACATGTGATTTTATCCCCAAAATATCTCTCAAGTTTGTCATCTTCTATCTTCTAGCCCCATTGTCACTGCTTCAAACTTTCTCACCTGGAGTATGACGCCACCTCCTAAATGACCTCTCTGTATTCAGTCTTGCCCCCCTTTTCAACCCCCTACCCCTGAGAGCAGTGCATTTGAAACTGCAGGTGCAAGGGTATCCTCTTGGAAGGTTAAACACGCAGATTCCAAAATTTTCCACCAGGAATTCTGATTCAGTAAATCCAGTGTTGACAAAAAAAAAAAAGCATGGTAGATATGTAGAATGTTTTAGATTCAGAGCATGGAAGATCACACAGCCTACAGGTAGAAAACACCATTTTCACCCACATTCCATTAGCCAGCAATCAGTCACATGGCCAAAAAAGGAGTCAAACTCTGTAAAATATTTGAAGAGATTTATTCTGAGCCAAATATGAGTGACCAATGGCCTGTGACACAAAACTCAGGAGATCATGTGCCCAAGATGGTCAGGGTACAGCTTAGTTTTATACATTTTAGGGAGACATGAGACATCTATAAAATACATGTAGGATGTATATTGGTTTGGTCCAGAAAGGCAGGACAATTAACTGGAAGCAAGGGCCTCCAAGTCATAGGTGGATTCAAAGACTTACTGATTGGCATCAATTCATTGAAATAGTTAGGTTATTGTCTAAAGACTTAGGAATATCTGGGTTAAGATAAGGAGTTATGGAGACCAAGGTTTTATCATGCAGGTGAAGCCTCCAGGTAGCAAGCTTCCAGAATAATTGTAAATGTTTCTTATCAGACTTAAAAAGTCTGTTTTAACAGTAATTCCAAAAGAGAGGCGTTTCAACCCCCTCTTCCCATCATGCCTAAAACTAGTTTTTCCATTTAACTTTGGAATGGCCTTGCTAAGAGGAAGGGTCTATTGGGATGGTCAAGGGGCTTCGAATTTTGTTTTTAGTTTACACCAGGAGAGTTCAGGGCTCGAGTTTTTAACAAGCACAACAGAAGATTTTAATGTACGTGATCTTGGGAGAAACACTGCTCCACAAAAAACTCTCAACAAGAATTTCAAATCTCAGTTGTCCTTTGTTTAAAGCAATTGAATGGCTCTCCAAATTCCAAGGCCCTCATGATGGAATATAAAGCCACCATGACACAGGCCTGGAGTATCTTTTCATTCTCATATTTCCCTATTTCTCCTCAAACCTTACAGTTTCAGAACCACCAGTGCCAAACTATTTGTACTTCCTGAGCACACTATATTAGTTCATGCCTCCATATTTTAGCCATGTTGAAGCAGGACTTTTCTCGGCCCCTTTGCTGGACTCGCAGCAGGGGTGCTCCCTCTACTCATGGCCTGCCATGCTCAGCCCCTTGCAGGAGGCAGCATCTGAGTGAGTGAGTGTGGGACCCGGCCAGCCACTCTGACCAACACAGGAGCAAGCTCTGTGCAGGGCCCATGGCCAAGCCAGGTGTTACCTCAAGGAGAATGGGGCAGTGCCCAGCTGCCAGTGACCCTGAAGCTTCAGAGGGAGTGTGATAATTGCTATTTTAGTTCCATTGTCTGTAGCCTTATGGTGGCATGTTAGCAGCTCAGTCGGTCCCTTGCTCCATTGCCTGGGGTGGCTGCCCTCCGCTGGCAAGGGCAA